ATGTATGTATGTATGTATGTATGTATGTATGTATGTATGTATGTATGTATGTATGTATGTATGTATGTATGTATGTATGTATGTATTCACGTGTTTATGACCAGTGTGTGCAGAAACGATAGGTCAACCTTCTGTTTATATCGATGCACCTGCACAAGTCAAGGAGTGGGGCGCTGGGTTTGTGTGTCCCTTCAATACGTTGCCTCTCTGCTTCACTTGTATAACAAAAATTCTTAAATGTATTATCCGATTTGGGCATGGTGAAATCACAAGAGGTCTATTCATCTAGATGCATACCTCAAGGTCGATTTTCGAAGATCGATTTTCACGGTTCTTGCAAAATATTGATATTTTCTTCATAGTGAGAGGTTTTACGTGAGCCGCTTGTTGTAGGTATGTTTTCATTTTAATTACAACAACAAATGGTCATTTATCACCATGTTACTATTCCCCTGAACACTCTGATAAAGCAGCACTCACTTATAAAGAAAATTAACCTCTGCACTCTTCCGCACAGAAGATTATCTAATTTTGATGCATAAATTTTGAACAACCAAAAATTTTATAGAGACATTCAGGGTCACGAGAACTCAATCGGTTTATCGGGAGAATTAAGAACATTGCAGTAGGAGATAAAATCCGGACTAAATGCTTTTTATAGTATGATATTAGAACCCAAAATATTTCTACATTGAAGGTCATGTCACGAGTTCGATCAATACCAATATGTGTAGGTGACGATGGCGGATATCAAACCTAGGACATTACACCAGAAAACTTCAGTGATAGCTTACGTATGTTGATCAATAACAATATATAATTGATAATGATACAAATAATAAGCAAAGTGATGCCCAGCCCGAAAAGTAAAGCCGAATACTTAGTAAGTACCCCATAGGATACAATCGGAGACTTACCCCCAGATGTGTTTTCAGATTTCCTTTGGTTGAAAATCGTTTTTCACAAATAATACAAACGAAAGGTCGCTCCTCTGAAACAGAAACAAAATGGCACAGGTACATTTTTTAAAAGCTGATTTCGAAAGTTTCATACTTGAGAAAAAACGATACAACATACGGACTGTTTAATCGTCCTAATGGGAGCTAATCCATCTAGCAAGTGACTTCGTTCTCCTAGCACGTGATTCCTCCACAAACCAATCGGTTGTTTCGAGACATTGTGAGTCCACCAAATCATTGCATAACTGTACTAAAGAGTGCTCGACGACCAAGTGTTAGGGATGATCGCCTTTGGCATCTGTCGGGAAGATAGATCTACAAATCGAAACAACACTGGCTACATTTTCTTTTTCAGCGTCCTAATCACATTTCTTTAAATGGTTGTCGCTCTCCTCCGGAAACCGAATGGAACATAAGGTCACTGAGTCTACTCACGATTTATAAATTTAAAAAACACAGAGAGGATACATATGAAGTTGGCGATATTGAGGTCGTCCGATCAATCAGTCAATCAATCAATCAGTCAGTCAATACAGGCAATGTGCAAACCACTTCTTCCGATATTCAAACGAAAACTGATACTCAAATGACAATCATGAGAATGATTACTACTTGATTAACTGCTGTTTATTTCACTGTTCAGCTTACCAGTGTGAACTCTGTAGTGCATGGTGAGAGCGCTTCGGCAACTGAGCACTTTGCTACACACACCGCACTGATTCGGGGCTAGGGTTCGTTGGAATCGTTCGGCCAATTGTCGCCACAGCACATTCTGTGATTGATCCACTCGCATAAACTGTTCCAGATAATCCTCCGACGGTTTTGTTCGCGAAGTGTTTGGCGGAGTGGAATCGTCTGCTCGCGATCGAGTCTCTTCAAGTCCAGCTGTCTCGTCCACGGTCGGAACACGATCGGTGAATTTAACCGGGGAGCTGCCTACGGGAACATATTGGGACAGCATGTCAGTCACGTGAGACGACTGATTTAGCGTTGTTGATGATGCTGGGCGATGCAACCAGTCCGGTCCCCTTAGATATGAATTGGAGTGATCGACGAGGTGTGGTGAATCGTTTCGTTTGTATGGCAGCATCATTAGATCGGGATTAGGAATCAGGTTCTCGGGGCTGTATGAACGCTGGGAATTTACATTGGACAGAGGAATTCGCATATCTGTCACATTAGTTTGACGTGACATAGCAGCCGCACAGAATGCTGCCAAAAATTCGATCGACGGTCCCGTCATTCCAGACGTACAGTCTGCAGGTTTTCCCGAAAACAATTGGTTGTCACCGGTGAGTAATCGATTTGAATAGTCCATTGGCATATCGTCATTTAACCTTGAGGGTAAATCAAACATATGTGAATTGGATTCATTCATCGATTTACGCAGTAGATGCGATTCCCACTCGTGTGTACTGCTACCATTCACATGCGCATATTTTGTTCCCGTTGTTCTCGAGGTTACTTGTGCGGTTGCTCCCACCGCGGTGACAGCCGCCGCTGCCGCCGCCGCCAATGATCTTTTTGGAATGTCCAGCATTTCCATCTTTTCCGTATGTGTCCTCAAGTCCAGTGCATCAGTGACGGTCAAATTGTTCGAAAGATTAACAGTGTGCGACTCGAATTGAGATAAGCCACTTTGGGATGGCGAGCCCAAACCGCTGTCTTGGTTGACCAACACCGGGAGTTTCTCTTCCTTAGTTGACAAACTTAATCGAGTGGAATTGAACCAACTGTTTGCGTGAGCCTCATCTGGCATACCGTTTGGATGCGCTGTGTTGCAAAGGTGATGACAATAATAATAATAATAATAATAATAATAATAACAATAATAATAGTGGTAACGTTAGAAAAATAATACCTTCACAAAAAATGGTTTCGTTATACTGATTAAAGTCCTTTCTGGTTACTGCTTGATAGAAATCAGTATGATTATAAAGACACATATCAAAGTTCATATTGCCTTAGTGTAGTACAGCAAAGATTTTTGGCATATTTATCAATATGCNCCTTAGTTACACACATTCCACAGGCAGCACAGTGTATAAACGATTTTGTAGCTGTGGACAAGTATAACACTGTGAAGCGCGAGGCAGATTGGAACCGACATGCGAAACTCACGGAACGATTCGCCTTGATGACATTGTCGTAGAAGCCAGCACTTCCTAAACAACTTAAGAAAAAAAATGAACAAGGCATTATCTCAGGCGAAAGTCAGTAAACTAAGGGCTGTTAAACCGTCGTCGTCGTCGTCTTCAACACAAAACCCCCTCTTCAACAAGTGCTGTTAAGGTAGTTATTACTGGTTAACAGATATTGAAAAATATTACAAACTCTACTCGTGACTTCTCTTTTGTGTGTCTTGTGTGAGCCGTGTAGCACATGTCTTGCTTATTAACTGGAAATCGATTGATAGTTTCACTCCACCGATGAGGTTAATATGAGCGAAACCCCAGTTTGAGGACTTTCTAATTGAATGGTAACCTGGGTGGTATGAATATTACTAAGGATGAGATTGGTGTGTGAGGGATGCTCCGTTTAAAGTATAATTGTCAGATACTTGGTGAGCGTGCTGTACCGATCAGTTGGTAGAAAATATAGTTCAGATCGTGTACAACGCGGAAAATGGCCGAATGATCAGACCGTGCAAGCGTGAACTTACACCTTACACTTTTCTACTCCGGTAAACCCTCACAACATATGGGACATTTTATCTGCCCCATTTCAATTGTCCGTCATATTGTATTACCATGCATACGTAACAATGATCAGCCAAGTTTTTCACCACTGAACATCAGTAGATATAGATATAGATGAGAAGAAAATCTCATTTGTTTTTCATTCCCATTCATTTTTGCTACTCATCATGCTTCTCCCCGTGATCACATTTCTTTCGGGATGAAATTGCTCGCGACCGTTTTCCCATTGTGTCTTCAAAAATAAGGTAGACGGAGAAGATTTACTATCCAACTTGGAAGCCACACGATGATAACCATAACACCCACATGAAAGTGCAAGCTTATTAGTTGTAATAACTGAATCTATCTGAAACTATCAAGAATCATATGCTTTACATATAAATTGAACAAATCAAGCAATCGCTAACACAGACAGAATTAAGCTGGTATGTGTGTTCACTCGATTTTAATGAAAAATATTTTCCTTTCATTACTTTTAAATAATGATGATAATAACAAAAATAAACTGGAACAATGTCTTTGAGTAGTTAAGTAAATTTGGATGATAAATCGATTAAAATGGATCTATGTGGGTGTCATAATCATATATTATCCAGTCAATTTGAGACGATGAAAAATCTGACAAACAGTTACGAAGGCAGTTCTAAACATTTTACATGTCTATTTACAATTAGACTGTTAGGTGTGAGAACATGAATCCATTCAACTGTGACTCATTTAAACCATTTCTCTATGGCAATGTTGTCCTTTTGAACATTCAAACAAAACGGTTATGGCCATTTAAGCCTCAACAAAAATGGGGATTTGCGGGACAGTGAAATAAGAGGGGGGCTATTTCTTGTCCGTTTAATTCCACTTTAACCCCTTCCCTTGTCTCTTCAGCTTACTTAAGCACACATTCTTACGATACTGAATGAGTGGAATCAAATGTCTACCAACACCAGTTGTCAATCTCGTTAGACGCCTTTTCTGAATGCCTTCTCAGTTAACCTACCCAACTTCATTTGACATAACTTGTTGGCAAATCGGTTATGAGATTAAAAAACGCTTATATTAAATTGATTCGTTTGAAGCTTGACGCCTTTTGTTGTGAATTCTCCCTGAAATTAGATGGCTGGAGCGAGAAATCAGTAATTTCATGTGTCTGTGTAATTTGTTCCGGTGATCTAGGCATGAAAAGTTTTCAATCTGGATGGCATCACTGTTAGCCTGTCAACTGAAACGAATGTCAACACAAACTACCTGTGATCGATCGTCACTTTGAATTTTACCGTAATCTTGCAAGATTATTTGACTATCCAAATGTAGATGCCCTCCTAAATTGTAAAATGAACTAACGAGGTGCTGCATATCAATCACAAATTGGTAGTTTCTGTTGTTTAAGGTTGTGCAAACACGCTTTGTAAAATTGTTGGGCGCTGTGGTCGATCAGACGAGGAAGATCTGCGTGAGTAGACCATGAAATCGTCCTCTCTCCGATGCAATCAGACCTCAATCTCATCTAGTATGGATTCGTTAGACCGGTGGACTAACGTGGACTAATCCTGGATGATAGGACCGGTGTAAGTCACGGGCTATTCTCGGGTGAACATATTACGCAAATTCGATTCCTGCCGAAGGAGATGATGACGATATGGAATCTTATGACTGACTGCGAAATGCAAACTGCCGATGGATAATCCTACCAGTTTGTCGACCTACGCTCACTAGTATACTAGAATCGATCGGCCAGTGGTGTGGAAAAAACAAACAGAGCAGAACCAACAAGTATACATTTTAATTATAACAATCAAAATCTCAGTTTAGTTCAATTTTCCTAGAATGCTCATTTTACCACACCAAATCATTCCTTTAACAAAGGTGTAGCTATCCATTAGTAGAGCAAACCGAACGACTCATCCGGGATTCGAACACTGGACCCCTGGAACAAAATGTGTGTGTGTTAATACCTTGCTAATCAGCCCAGATTAAGGTTAACCAAAGTTACTAATTCAACTTCTTTCAGTTGCCGTCTCCAGTGATAATTCATCAGTTCAATGGGTCCGATAGGAAAGAAAGGAGATAGTTGAATATACGTCAACTCCATTCGATAGCCTCTCACCAAATATGGACTTCAATTGAGATTCGGGTAATTTCGCCAGACCTACCAGGTTATTTTTCATTTCTCTTTTAACTCACAGTTTCTGACCGTCAGCTGCTTTGAGGGAAACGACTCAACCTAACGACTTTTCACCATGTTCTGTATCCTAATCCACCTATCCCCTTCACTGTCATCGTTGTTGCGTTGGCACCATGCTTGTTTTCAAGCCGGTGGTAAATATATATAATATACGATTACGTGATGCGTCCCTCGCATTTGGAGAACAAGGTTGCAACCGATGAAAGTGTTTTCATCTCTAAAATTGGATACATAATCGGATCACAACTATCGATCACTTTATTCGCGCGCGCTCTCACACATACACACAAACGTTCGTTATCATTGTCAGTAGCTGACTGTTTGGGAAACGGGGTGTCAATCTCCCCATCTATTGTTCTCATTTTGTGTTGAGGCACTAAACTGGACTAGATCCTTCTATGGACAATTTAACACTCACTAGAGTTTCAAGTTCCGCCAATATGTGTGGCTCGATCAAGCAAACTTGGCTGATACCCTCTCTCTTTCTCTTTGTCTGTGGCCATACAGATATGACGCGTACTCATCATGAGGAGACAGGAAAATGCACACGCATACACACAGCAACAGAACGTATTAACAGAGCGGGGGTCACTAACGGGCTTTGATGATGGTGTGTTAAATGAAACCCGTAATTTGACAGCCCGATGGTTCCACAGGACCACAGGGAAGTACGAGGCTAGATTAGAGCCTAAGAAATTTGCTTTTATTTCTTCTGGGGCTTCTACTGCCAGTGCACAAGTGATTGGCAAAAGTACTTTGTGTAATGGTTCTACACACATAAGCCATAATATATAATCTACGAATTACTTACTACACAGTATTTTATGATGTGGTGGGCAGTTACGAACTCAAGAATATAAACATACATCTATGCATATATATATATATATATATATATATATATGCCAACGGATGTATCTGTATTCATATATAGATATATATGGGTTACAACTTATTTGCATATCATCCCTTTGATATTCGCGGCGGCCCTAATCAAGGCGTGTTTCGGCTCGCATCCTCGGACTGATATCGCACATTTTGCCGTGTGTGTGCGCGCATGACGTGTACGCGCATATGAAGATGTAGTTATAAGAAATGAATGAATATAACCANGTCTGACCAGAGTCTTTGTTGTCGGTCGCCAAAGGCAATACCATTTTTTCCAAATACATGTGTGTGTGTGTGTGAGTACACACATACACATACACAAGTGCACTCTGTGGAATAAAATCAAACATTCTGTATATCTCCCACTTCATCATAATGGGGATGATGTTGTAGATGATGATGATGATGATGATGATGATGATGATGATGATGATGATGATGATGATGAATCTGATGATGATGATGATGATGATGATGATGATGATGATGATGATGATGATGATGATGATCATGATGATGATGATGATGATGATGATGATGATGATGATGATGATGATGATGATGATGAGACATGATGATGATGATGATGATGATGATGATGATGATGATGATGATGATGATGATGATAATGTGATGATGATGATGATGATGATGATGATGATGATGATGATGATGATGATAATGAAGATGATTTGATGATGATGATGATGATGATGATGATGATGATGATGATGATGATAATGAATGATGATGATGATGATGATGATGATGATGATGATGATGATGATGATGATGATGATGATGATGATGATGATGATGATGATGATGATGATGATGATGATGATGATGATGATGATGACGATAATACTAATAACAATAGTAGGAGTAATATGCTTCAGTGATAACAATTTTGGATGATTGGGATACCGCTGGGTCTTTGGCACTTTCGCAACTGCAGTCATGCATATAACGGCCGAAATCCAAATCTACGCAGACGCACACAAACACAGATAAGCAAACAGCTCTCGGTATAGTGAATCCTCGGTGGCAGACTGACCACCCGATGACGAAGGTGTGTGACGCAATCATCCAAAATTGTTATCA